GCACGTTATTATACAATATTTGTTACAATTTAATACAAGATTCAGAGATTGAGAATTTTCGACCACATAAAAAACGTACAATATCATGATAAATGTCCAATAAATGTCAAGTAAATGTTCGGAACGGGGTCAATTTTCCGAACAAAAAACCGAACAGTGTTTGGGCAACTTTTTTTATAGGGCTATCATTTTTTTTAATCAAGGAACATATCGTCACTCAACCGGAGAAATTTAATTAATACAACACAACACAGTTAAAGTTATACCGAAGAGTTCATGAAAATATCATACGATTTTGTGGAATCGCAAAGATAGAATTTATTATTTTAAAATATAAATAAAATTGATTAATTAGGTAAAATTTAAAAATATTCTTTAGTCTTAGAATACGCTGATAGCGGTACGTTAAATGCTTACTTATTTAATCAACTATTTTAATGAATTGAACTGGAATGATAGATCCCACTTAGAATTGCAATTGGCTAGCCGTAGAGTTTTTGCATGATAATGAGTAATACTATATATTTTTTATATATTTATTCATTCTAATATCATTTATTTAAAAAAGAATACAGTATAATAATTGAAGCATACTTATACATCAGAAAAACATTAAATTAGCAGACTTTGGTTTATCAAAAAAAATTGTTGAAGCATTACCCTACCTATATGAACCCAAAGTTTCAATAACAAAGAAAATTATAAATTAAATAAAAAGTCTGATGTATACAACATTGGAGTTTTATTTTGGCAAATTTTGTGGATGTAGACCTTTTCGTGAAATTGATTATGGTCCAAGTTTAATGTTATTTATATTAAATGGTAAAAGAGAAAAAATTGTTGATTGAAATAAATACAGTAAATTATATACAGGTAACATTTATATAGTCATTATTAGTAATACTTTTTTTTATGAGCATTATGAATACTAATTTTATTTACTAATTGATTAGCATATTGAACGCCTAAATATGCAACAGAGTGAGTTAAATTATTTTTAAATCCTTTATAAATGCCTCGATTAAAAGCTACCTTTTATACTTAATTTTATTTATACAATATCTGTCTTATGTACTATACCTATTATTAGAAAAAAAAATTAAAAAAAAATTTCTGAAAGATTTTATTATATTTATACCGATCTATTGCTATTGGCATTATTAAAAAAAATCAGAAAATTTTATTTATACAATACGTACCCGTCTTATGTATTATACCAATCTATTGTTATTATTAGAAAAAAAAATTTAGAAAAAATATTTTGTTATATCTATAATGATCTATTGGCGTTATTAGAAAATTTTATTTATACAATATCTGTCTTACGTACTATACCTATTATTAGAAAAAAAAATTTAAAAAATATTTCTGAAAGATTTTGTTAGATTTATTGATATTAAAAAAAAATGGTTAGGAAAATTTTATTTATACAATATGTATTATAGTACCTATTATTAGAAAAAAAATTTAAAAAAAAATTCTGAAAGATTTTATTATATTTATAATGATCTATTGCTATTGGCATTATTAAAAATAAATCAAAAGATTTTATTTATACAATACGTACCCGTCTTATGTTCAATACCAATCTATTTTTATTATTAGAAAAAAAAACTTTAAAAAAAATTCTGAAAGATCTATAACGATCTATTGGTATTATTAAAAAATAAATCAGAAAATTTTATTATAAAATATCTGCCATATGTATTTTATTATACTATCTATTGTTATTATTAGAAAAAAAATTTTTAAAAAAAATTTCTGAAAGATCTATAGCGATCTATTGGTTATTAAAAAAATAAATCAGAAAGGTATAGTGACTTTTTATTATAAAATGATCGACATATTTTGTGTAACAGTATATTCCTTGCCCCGTACGAAATCTTTTACATAACAATACACTTTGAAATTTTAAACATATCTTTACAATATCTTGAAACTATCACACATTAATTTTTATTAAAACTATAAACTATTATTGAATTACTTTTATTAATAACAACATTTAAAGTCTTATATCTAATAAAAAAAATTATTAAATTAAAAAAAAATATAATTGTTATTGATTATAAGACCAAATATTCTTTTTATGCTATTAAAATAGAACTTATTTATGTAATTTTTACAAGTTTAATATAAGCTAATTGGATAAAAAAGTAAAAAACTTGAATTTCTATAAAAATTAATAATTAATTTGCCTTTTATGCAATATGTTTTTTGATTCTACATAAAAATACATATATTTCATTATTAAATGATGTTTAGTTTTCATACAAACTTGCATCTCTGGGTTTAAGTCAACAAAATAGGAGAAGTTAACCTAATATAAGTTTTTTATGCAAGTATTGTACTGTCAAAATAAACGTCAAAATAAGCAGAAAAAAGTCTAAAGAACAAAAGTTTTCTAAAGTCCGTATAAAGGTTGTTTGAGAGAAAACCATCATGTTATATTAGAAGCGTTTGTGCAGATCATTTTTTATTGCGCAAATTTTAATTTAGTAAAAATCAACACTTCCCATGACATGACCGAGGTTTGATATGTATTTTATTATACGATCTATTGTTATTATTAGAAAAAAAATTTAGAAAAAATTTCTGAAAGATTTTGTTATATCTATAAAGATCTATTAGCATTATTAGAAAATTTTATTTATACTATATCTGTCTTATGTACTATACCTATTATTAGAAAAAAAAATTTTAAAAAAAAATTCAAAAAAAATGTTTCAAAATGTTTTTCTATAAGTGTTTTATATAAAAAAAATGTTTTCAACATTTCTTATATTATTATTAATAAAAAACATAGCAAACCATTTTTTTATGTGTTTTAATATAAAAAATGGTTTGCAATATTTCATAAAATTTTGCTAGAGTTATCCTATAATCAAATTATTAGAAATTAAAATCCTTATTGGCTGAGATATGTCAATTTGAAGTTCTAATGCCAGTGTTCAATAACTTTCATTTAAAAAATCTTTAAAAGCATGTTAAGCTCCCCCCATGAAAATGACCTCTTGTTAATTATTAGCAATTAACCTAGTGATAATTATTGGTAATTATCAAATTTGTTAATCATCGTTATATTTCTTACGATAAAATGTGATAAATACCGATAGGGTGATGAACATCGATATTTATCTCCTGAAAAATTTTCCCGATGGTTAAAATCAAATAATCTATTGGTTAAATAAATTCTAGGAAAACGGGAACCGTCGTAAGTCCGGAGCGAAAAACTAAAATTTGTGATTTCATTGGGCGACGATCACGTGGCTGACAGAGAAATTCACGTGATCGTTTTTTTCATAGTGCGTAGACATATGGACAATAAAATATGACAAATAAAAAAAATTTTTTTTTTTAGCTAAATAACATAATAATTTAATGAATAATATAAAAAAAAATTTCAGAACTTATATTCATTACGAAATCTAATAGCAGCTTCGTAACCATTATAAACACCTAATTCTATATAATTCTTGGCTTTTTCTATATTTTTTTTACATCCAATACCATTATAATACATATTTCCAACGTTGTACATTGCTACTACAACACCATCTTCAGCAGCTTTTTCAAAATATTTAAGAGCTTCTGATTCATTCTTATCAACACCTTTACCATTAAACAAACAATCTCCATATCTTACTTTTGCTTCAGGGTTTTCATTTGCTTCATCATCAGCAACTTCTTTAAATAATTCAGCAATAATTTTATCTTTATTTGGAGGGCTCTCAGCAAATCCTCTTGAAATGTAAATTGCTTTATAATATTTTGCTGTGATTTGATTACGGTTTGCTGTACCTCCTGTATTACCAAGGTTTGCATAGGCTTCAAAACATTTATATGCAGTTTTTACATCTCCACTAGGCCTGCCATTTTTAAACATCTTATGTTGTTTCGCTGCATCAGCAAGTGTCATGTATTTAAATGATTCAAAATCTAAATTAATAGGAAGTGCATATGCATCTTGATCAATGCTGAATGCTCGTTTTTGAATAAACTTCGGAGTGGAAGGTTTTCTGTCTAGGGTTAAATTACAAAAACTTGATGGTTCTTGTGAATATTTCTTGAAACAATTATTAAGAACTTCAAACATGTTCGTGATTTTTGGCCTAAAATCTGGGTCATGATAAACGGCTAAAAAAAAAGAAACCAATTAAGTACAACAAATAAAATTGTAATTTAAAATATTTTCTTTTACATACCTTCAATTTCTAATCGTTTGAATTCTTCTGGCATTTGACTATTTTCAGAAAATGGTTCTCTATACGTTTTATTACGTACCTTATCAA